CCAACCCTCATTGGATTATTGAATGCATATACTTATTGCACGTTGTTTTGTTGTCACGGAGAACATTAGATCACAACATATGTTGAATGTTAATTGTTGGCTTGCAGACTCTGATTGAAGAAAACCCAACTTGATTTTCCTTGAATTCTTCAGAAAACACAGTTCAAGGTCAACAATAGAGTGTTGGATGAGACTCTGTTATATATATATATATATATATAAGCAACACATGTAGGTGGTTCATAGAGCTATTATTTGCCTTTGGTGTTCGATATAACTGGGTTACAGTGCATTAAGTAGGTAGGGTGAGCAATGAGCATATAAATTGTTTGGGTTAATTACAATTTATCCCCTTGTAGTTTTGTCCAAAAACACTATACCCCTATCAGGTTTAAAAGTATACACATAATCTCCTTAGTTCTTGTTGGCATTAGTGCTAGTGATACATGGTATTTTTGCGATCTTTTGGCATCTTCTGTTATCTGTGTTGCTTATCATCAAGGATCACCTCTATTCTTTGAAGTTTTGGATTGTTATATGCATTTCTACTAAATTGGTTTATAAAATTATTTATATATGAGTTTAGATGCAATTGATAATATGGTAATGTTTTCCTTGTTTATTTTCTTTGCAGAGTGGTTTCTGATGACGTTTGGAAACATACTTGCAATTGAAGATCAACTGTTGAACTTAGTTTTAGTTGCAAATCAAGATTGAGTGTTTTTTTTTTCCTTCGGACTCAACGTTAGTTCATTTTGGAATATGATATGATGATTTTTTTTTATTATACTTAATGGATTATTATTAAATTTGTTTGATGGATATATTTTCATTTAAAATATAAATTATTTAGTGAATTTTTTTGTGGAGTGGTATATAACAACTAGTGGATTTCTTAGTACATTTAAAAGGCTATTGAGATATGAGCAGGGATATTTGTAAAATAATAATTTAAATTGAAATATAAAATATGAAACAAGTTCAGTGACGAATTTTTTTCGTCATTTGTACTTGTTATTATGACAAAGTGATTATTTGTTGCTAATAAATATTTTTTGTGACAAAATTTATTGCAGCTTATATATGAAAGATTTGGTTGATTTTGTTGTTTGGTGACTAAAAATTTTGTCACGTATATATATTTTTGTCACGAAATATATTTCGTCACCCAAATATGACTTTTGGAGACGAAAAATGTCATCATCTTTATATCTTACTGTGACGAAATTATTTCCTCATCAATGATCAACATGTGTGACAAATTTATTCGTCAACTAAAGTTATAGACGTGGTACTGAATAACTATTTGGTGACGAAAATGAGGATTATTGGTGACAAAATGTTGTTTTATTGGTGACAAAAAGTTTTGTCACTGAAGTAATTTCATTGGTGACGAAATTATTTTTCGTCACGATACTTTTTAGTGACAAACATTCAATGACGAACACGGTGATGAAAATATTTCCTCACAAATATATATAGTGATGAAATTAGCTCTTTGGAGAAGAAAAAAATTCGTCATCCAAGACCCAACTTGTTGTAGTGTACAATAGTGTTGCACTTATCTCCGCACAGCACTTTGCTCCGCACAGAACAAAGGTCAATAGATCCATGACAAATAGAGGACCATAAAGTGGCCAAACAAAAACCAATGGTTATTTAAGTCTCCCAAAGCATGAGACTCCCGTGATAGTATTTACAAAACATAATTGTTTATAAAGTTATAGTCAAATATTCTTTAAAATATAAATAAACATATCTATAGATTTCCTTTTAAGCAAATAGGGTTCAGAAAATAATCAACGTAACTGAAATATTAATATAGTTTATAATAATTTATAAAACATAACTTGTATAAAATAAACTATGGTAAATTAAAATATACGTAAAATATATTATAACATACGTAAAATATAATATGATGACTGAAGGTATAATATAACTCACCTTAACTTAAATATTTCACTCTTTCTTTTCACTATCAAAAACTCTCACAGCTCCCACTATTTTTTTCCTTCATTCTCCTTTTTCTTTCTCCTTCCTTTCTCTATTTCTCTTCCTTTTTTTCTTCTTTCTTTTCTATTTCTTTTTCTTTCCGCACAGACCACCTCCTCACTATTTATACGAGGTGGGAACATTATCCGCGCAAATACTTCAAAAAATTTGATAATAAATTATAAAGATTTATTCTTATTCATAATAAATATTTAAGATAATTATATTTTGATCTAATTTTTAATTAAATTATACTCTATCATATATCAATAAAAAATTAATAATTTATTTTACTATCATATCTATTATTATTATTATTATTTATTTATACTTTGACCCCTAAATTCATAATAATTATATTATTACACATAATAATACAAAATAAATCGTATATTTTTCCTAACTGTAATTAAATAATATTAGTATAAATTTTACAGAATAATTAAAAATCTGAATTGTTACAAAAACTAAAAATTCAAAAAGCTAAAAAGCCAACTCACATACCAAACAAATGCTAGTATGTTTTTGTAGATTTTTTTTAACAAAAAAACTTTTTATATTCTTTTAAACTAAGACCAAGTTTGGCAAGTTGAAAAAAAAGTAAAAAAGTAAAAAAGTTATTCAAAAAGTTAAAAAGTTAATACAAAATATTCACCAAAAGTAAAAAATTACGACTGCACAACTCACAATCCTAATTTTCCCCTACACACTAATTTATATAATTTTTTAATACACATTTTTTCATAAAAAATCAAAAAGTTAACCCAAACTATCATATTTTTTTTCTCAATTTTTTAGTCTAAAAAGACAAAAAGTGTACTTATTTAGGACACCCCAAACAACCCCTAAAAGTATCCGGAAAGTAAAAAAAAAAATTAATACAAAATTTTAAAATATTCACTAAAGATTAATTTTTTTTTTTTGAAAAAATATGACTTTTCTAACAATTACTATATATAAATGAATCTTGTTAAAATAAATTATTTTTCTCAATTATGAGTTAAATAAGCTTAAACAGGCCTCGTTTGGCAAGAGGCTATTTTAGCCAATTAGCCAAAAAGTTACTAAATTAGCCAAAAAGCCAACAACCCATACCAAAAAGTCAAAGATTCTCTTTTCTCTCTACTTTTTGCACATCTTTTCGTAATTAGCCAAAAAATCATCCCAAACATACAAGTTTTTTTTACCTACTTTTTTAGCCAAATAGCCAAAAAGTTACTAAATTAGCCTGTTCCCAAACGAGGCCTGTTAATTTTTTCTAAAAATTTAAATAGCCAAAAAAAAAATTATTAAAAAAATCATAGCCAAACATAGCCTTAACCAATTAGAAGACTTATGATAGGAAATCAACGTTAGCTCGATCCAAAATAATTAAAATGATTCACAACGCATGATGAAACCAATGGATCCTAATAAATTAGTGCATATGCTTATTATATAAGTATCTAAAAAAAATGCTCCATTAATCCAAATGGTCACTATTTAATATTTCTGTTTAACTTACTTATAATATTAACCTTTGGCAATTGATTTTATCATATTAATTTTTTTTTTTTAAATTCCGTTTTTAACTGTTAAAATGTTAAGAACTTTGTAAAGATCCAACCCATATATCTTTTTACAATTTGCATTAACTTTATCTGTATTATCACGACCTCCTTTGAATTCTACAACTTTTTAGTGATTCAACACTAATTGTAAGAAGGATTTAACTATATTTCCACTTTTCTTATAACTAGTAGATTTAAACAATATACTTATTTCTGCTTTAAAAAAACAATATACTTATTAATTATGTATATACTACTTATTATTTCAAAGTTTTATTCTTTTATTCTTTTCATTAAGTTCCCTGCGACTACAAAACAAAAATGACAAATTACATTAACCACCCCTAATTTTAAGAAAAATTATAGCTAACCCATTAGTTTAGGAAAATTACATTGACTCCCCTAACATTTATTATCTCATTACAATTACACTCACTCCGTTAGTCGACCTTCAGGCATTTGAATGGTCACATCCATCCCACCTCCATCTTCTATTTTCCTTCTCTTGAACAACTTTTTTTTTTTTTTTTTTCTCTTTTTTTCTTTTCATGGCAAGACAAGCCTCCACAATCTTTGATTACCTCGCCAATTCCTTCTTGGACTCACCCCCACTTGCCACGGCATGCCACTACATTTCTTCTCTTTTCACCACCATATGTTATCATCATTTTTCCTCCCCCATTACATGTATGTCACAACATACCAAAATCATAATACCTATCAAGACAAAATCTCATTACACAACAAGATTAATACTTACAACAATTGTCACCGAAATTTGCAATCACAATCCCCGATTCGCAATTCTCAAATTGATTCAAAAGAAAGGTGAATATGGGTAGTTGTTAGGAGTAATGACAGTCACATGTGACAAAAAGATGGTGGAATGTAGTAGTAGAAATATTAGTGGTGTGTGGCATGCTACGATAATGGTATGAAAATAGACAATGAAGTGACTAATGGCATGCAAAAAGGGGTTAAGGAGGAAATTTAGTACAGTAGTTTAGGAAGAAGAGATGCTAGAGGTTAAAGAGGAAATTTAACAAAAAAGAAAAAAAGAAAAAGATGGGATGACAATAGACTAATTATGTAAATTAAATTCTGTTTTTCCGAGTTAGGGTGATTTGATAAATTTAACTTTTTTACTAGATTTGTTGGGAATTATTTATAATTTTTTCAAACTTTAGAGAGTTCAAAGCATTTTTGCTCTTAGGCTGATCAATGGCGCAACTGAATTTAAAAAAAGAAAAAAGAAAAAAGGAAAAAAGATACTCCAACTTTCTTTTCCTTTCTTAATCAATCACAGCCCTCCAATCGTCATCACAGTTCATGTTCACATGGATCACAGCTAAAATCAAACCACGTGTGAACACAAAAGGCTTGTTCTTGTTCATGTTCGTGTTCATGTTCATTGTTTCTGGGTTGGTTTGGTAATTTGGACACAAATGATGACACAACGTCGAGGTCAACAAAATTCCATCCAACCTGTACAAACAATTATATACAAATACATGTGTATTTCAATTTTATATGCCTATTAGACGGCCATTTGTCACATCAGAGCCCACCAACTTCTCTTCCTAGGCCGGCCTTCCCAACCCCTTTTGATTCTCTCCTTTCACCAAACAATTCAAGCTAATATTATACATATACTTCATCTCCATCCTCAGAGCCGCCTTTATTCAGGTTTGGTTTTTTCTCACTTCAATTTCCATTTGACTCCTATTCTGTTTGTCAGCACTTTTGAACTTCAAAAATCAAGCTTTTTAGTGATGGGGTTTTGAGTTTGAGTTTGTTTTCTCATCTGGGTAGTCAAGAATCTCCACTAGAACCCTCTTATATCGCCTTGTTGGTTTTATTGGTTCTTCTTGGGGGGGTTTTTAGGCCTCGTCTCATCTGGGTTTGTCTCATTTCTGGATTTGGTAAATGGGTTATCTGAGAATTCAGAATAGTATTGATGGTTTTGGCACTTTGAATTATGGGTTTTATTAATTTGTTAGTTTTGGGGAGTTGAAACAGCTGGGTTTTAAGTATTTGTCACTTTGGGGGATTGCGTATATGCAATTTTGATCAAACTTCGAAGCAATATATAAGAGGACTTTTGGGGGCTTTCAGATTTCTTTTCTATCTGGATTGTTTGCCTTTTGATTTGGTGAACTGGGTTTTCTTGACTTTGGTTGACCTAAGCGGTGATTGCGGATACTGAATTGCCTGTTTAGATCACTCTTGAATTGAACCCTTAACTGGTATATTGGTGGATTCTGAACTTCCAACCCTTTTCAGTTCGGGTTCTTCTTCGTTGTCAATCTGGCGAATGGGCAAATAGGGCATTAGCTAATATGTGAGGTGCTTGTGGATTGTGCTTCTCATGTTCTTTCGATCCTTTTCTTTTGTTTTGATTGGTGGGGGCGTATGAATTTAGAATGATTCTGCTATCTATTAGCTCTGAAGCATGGAATTTCGAAGTAACGTTTCGTTGAGAATGGCATTAGTTGTTTTGAGCTTTGTCTTGGTAGTGCAATTGCCAAGAATCTCTGCCTCTCAGTTGTCGATACAGTCAAAGGTTTGTGGCACTGATCACATCAGCTACTCCAGTAGTTCTGGTAATGATTTCTTTTACATTAATGGGAAATTAGTAGACAAAAATTTATTCTGCAAGGCCCTCAAACTCTATCGAGCAAACCATTGCTTCATGACAGAAGATGACATAAATCATTTCTGCGGATTAGATCCTCCATTAGGTATGCCCTATTATGAATATTATTTTTACATTGCTGTGTTGAACATTGTTCTGTGCAATGCTTTAAGGGAAAAAAAATCACTTTTTTTTTCTTTGTATTTTTCACAGATGAGTTGCATTTGAAGGCAGGAAGGAAGTTTTTGCACAAGTTTGTTAGATTAGAATCTTCAACACATGGTTCTATTCAGAACAATCAGCCTACTGAAGGCAAAGATGCTCACAAATCTCTGATAACACCTATGAAGTTGGCAATGGCAGTATCAGGATTTCTCGCATTGTGTTGCTGTTTACTATGTCCATGCTTTCGTGCAATACGGAAACAGACAGCCCATACTGTTCTTTCAAAGGAACTGAGTTCAAGTGAGTCAGAATATTTTTCATGTTTTGGATAATGTTGCTATTAAGAATCTTGTCAATGTCTGTGACTTCAAATTTTTAATGGCAGTGATCAGCTTCACTTACCACATGGATTCTTTTGTTTGGTGCAACTTATTTGGGACTTTGTGCCAAATTGTTTGGTGCAATTTCTGCTTCTAACTTATGAGGCAGAAATAAATAAATAAGATAAAAAAAGTGATTATATAGAAGTGGGAATGATGTGCTTTTAACTTCTGCTCTCTCATTATCGACTTTCAGCTTGAGAAAAGCTGCACCAATTTCCAAGAGTTGGAAGAGTGGTGCTCTTAGCTTCCTCATCTGGTCTACCAATAACTTCTCGTAATTTGCACTTTCCTTCGGACATCTAATATTTGTTAGCTTAGGTTCTTCCTACTGATAGATTTTGGCTCAGTGATTTCTCAATGCCTGTTGATAATAGACTGTGTGCTTTCTTGCAGTGGATTCAGTTTCCTCATTGGAAATGAATTCTGTTCACGAAAAATTTCCAGGCAGTCCACTACGAGTGCCACCTAGCCCTTCTAGATTCTCCATGTCCCCAAAACTAAGTAGAATTGGATCAATTCATCTAAACATGAGTCAGGTTTCTAGAGCCACCCACAATTTTTCGTCATCAATGAAGATTGGTGAAGGCGGCTTTGGAACTGTCTACAAGGCCCGGCTAGCAGATGGTCAGGTAGTTGCAATAAAACGAGCAAACAAGGTATACTGTGGTTTCTTTCGCTTGCCTAGAATGTACTATTTCTGCTATGTTATTCTTGCTTACATGATGATGTTAAAAGCTTGCTATATCTTTGAAAGGAACTGTCAGATTGTGGTTCTATTTTTACTTGGAACCATAGAACAGAGAATTTAATAAATACACTTGATCGTCAAATTAGAGATGCCTTGTTTTCTTAAAAGGCTTGTAAAATTTTCGGAATTCGAAGAATCAAGTAGGATGTGAGTTGCATAAAAGAAAGATACATTTGTTGCAGAGGCAAAATTATATGCTTGATGAGGAACGGGCTTGCTAACATGAATTTTATATTTATCTTTATTTGTTTTCATTTATAGTTGAATTAGGATCTTAATAATATTTCGTTTCATATTTTTAAGGATTATAGTTTTTTTTTTTCCCTTCCCATTAGGATTTTCTTTCTTATTTTGATTAGGGTTATTATTGACCTATAAATAAGATGTTTTGGCATTGCATTATAGATAACTTCTTGAGCTAAAGTTTAAACTATAAAAATGATATGGATTGACTGAGCTTCCAAATTGTTGTTAGTGATGTGTAACTGACTGAGGACTAGTTGTTATGATGGTCTCTCTTCACACTCTGTGATGAGGATATGAGAAGTTTCCCATGTCATACCTTGTTAGTGGTGCTGCTTTCCTACGTTGCGACCGATAATATATGAATTTGCAGTTAAATACTTATTGGAATTCTTGTCACATTAATCCATTGTAGCTTTGCTGATTTTGGATCTACGAGTGTCATAAAAAATTGATCTGTCTTCCCTTCCATATGACCAGTTTCTTCAATGTGCAAACTAAGTGTTATTATGTAAAGAAAAATTTATCCATTGTCCACGGTTTTGCTCAACATATCTTATGATGTTCCTGTGTTCGCCTGAAAAAATTGCACAGGAACATTTTGAAACTCTAAGAACTGAGTTTAGCAGTGAAGTTGAACTTCTGGCCAAGATTGATCATCGAAATCTAGTGAAGCTGCTTGGTTATCTAGATAGTGGCAATGACCGTCTTATAATTATCGAGTATGTGCCAAATGGTACTCTTAGAGAACATCTTGATGGTAAGATTATCAGACTGTAAGGGATTGGCTAAAATACTACTAATCTAGAGAGTAATTTCACTGCTTGTAATTTGGTTGTTGTTGCTGTTTGCAGGTATGCGAGGTAAAATTTTGGATTTTAATCAGCGGCTTGAAATCTCCATTGATGTTGCTCATGCCCTAACTTATCTCCATCTCTATGCAGGTGAACACACACTCTCTCTACTTACTTAATCTGTTTGTGGGTTTATTATGTATAACTTCTTTTAAAACGCCGTTCAAATGGTCAATCTGGGTGGACAAGATTGAGGAGAGTCAATGGGAAGTGTTGGGCTTATTTCCTAACAGCTTAAGCTTTTGGGGCAATTGGTAACTTAACATGGTATCAAAGCTCAAGTTGGGGGAAGTCTTAGGTTCAAGTCTCTTTGTTTTCATTTTTTATTCTTTTATGGATGTCTGCATCTCACAAGACAGGGTTGCTCGAAGGGTGTTGAATAACTTGATATACATTAATGGAAACTAAGAAGTTGCTTAATGATTTAATTTGGGTCCTCATGTTGTTGAAGATGCTGCCTTGCTAACTTAAAAAATATCTTGCACAACAGCTAATTGTGCTTTTTAGATAGAATAAATTCAAATTTTCTTCGCCTTGTCAAGAATTTATTACTCATTTATTTAAAGAAACCGAAGGTCTTTATATATTGAGAATTTGGATTTTAGGTTTGAAAAGAAAAGAGCAAAGAAATCAAAGAACACAAGAGCGATCAAAAGGGCCTCTAACCCACATGTTAGGCAATCTTTTCTAGTATTTCTATGGACAAATATTTGGTCAATGTTCAAAACCATGATAAAGGAGAATTATTGCATATTATAAACTTGCTCTGATAAACGCACGCCGTGTGACACATAAACTCTGATACTGTAATAATTTAGTATCCATAGAAATTAGATGACCTATAAAATATTATTCTCTCAATATCATGGATCATAATCAACACATGTCGATCAATGTAGCTTATTTTACTGCAAAGACAAATTTTCTTTGTTTTTTGAACCGTAATGCCTATAATTTTGTTGATCATGCAACAGAGAAGCAAATTATTCACCGAGATGTGAAGTCATCCAACATTCTTCTGACGGAAAGCATGAGAGCCAAAGTGGCTGATTTTGGATTTGCAAGATTTGGTACAATGGACACTGAGAAAACACATATCTCAACCAAAGTGAAAGGAACTGTCGGGTACCTTGACCCCGAGTACATGAGGACCTACCAACTGACCCCGAAGAGCGATGTGTACTCTTTTGGGATTTTACTGCTTGAAATATTGACAGGTCGACGTCCTCTGGAGTTGAAGAGGCCTGCTGAGGAGAGGGTAACGCTGAGATGGGTGAGCTCATCCTCCCTTTTCCTGACTATCTTTGTTTGGTTTCATTTTCAAAATCTGTTTTTTGAATTTTTTTTTGAAAAAATAAAAACTAGGTTGATAAAAATAAATATCAAAATGATAGTTTTGATTTTTCAAAAATTATTTTCGCTTCCAAAAAGGTTAAAAATAATATGAAAATGATGAGTGCTTTTGTTTTTTTCATTTTTTTTCTCCAAATTAGATTTTAGTTTTTTGAATTTTTTTTAAACAAACTGTTATGAAAATGAAACCAAACAGCGTGTATTCGTAACATCAGTATGTATAAGGACTTTTCAATTTCATCTTTGATTAAATGACTCTTAAGAAACCAAGAACATTTTACATGAAAGGAAAACATTAATGCATGTTAGGTGTGAATTTGTGTGCATTGGTGGCAGATAACTAATGAACTTATCCAAAACCCAGTCCAAATAGCTGTTTAGGAGCCTAAATTAAACACATCGTTGATAGGACCTTTCTAGGATCTTAGATTAAACCCATCACATAGAATCTTTTTCAAACTGCTCTTAGTGCATGCGAGCAAATTTGCAACCTAAAACAGAGGTGATCTGCTGCCATTTGCTTTTGTACACCTGACACTTCTATCGGTTGTGAAGATAATTGCTTGAACACACAATTATCTGATTCAATCGACTTCGGCTTGCTGGAGTGTGCCACCTAAGGGACAGAACTTCGTTTCTTTCCATCTAAACGGCTGAAACATTTTCGTTTCTTAAGAAACTAAAATGAATCATTAGTGGAATATTGAAATTCCAACATTTTCATTAGAACATACTAAAATGCACTGAAACACACTGAAACTCTACAAAACATACTGAAACACATGTTATTAGTTTTGGTTTCCGACATTTTCAAATGTTTTTAATTTCCTTTTTTCTCATTTCCCATATGTTTGCGAAACATTTCTCAACTCTCATGTGTGTTGTCCAGGCCTTCAATACCTACAACGATGGTAGTATCATGGACATGGTAGACCCTTTGATGAACGAAGTTGTGAATGAGGACATACTAGCGAAAATGTTCGAGTTGGCATTCCAGTGTGCGGCACCGACACGGGCAGACCGTCCGGATATGAAAGTTGTAGGAGAGCAGTTGTGGGCAATTCGAATGAGCTATCTCCGAAGCGGAAGGAGAGGGTAAAAAGTGCAAAAAAACAATATTTATGTCTTTCTTTCCAAGATTCAATTGACGTTCTTCTTGTAAATCAAAAACTCCCAGTAAGTATTATTACTTTTGCTTCTTTGTGTGCTTTTTCTCATCTTACATTCTTGAACTTGTTTTTGGTAAATTCATAGAATTGTTTTGACAGTACAACTTTTATCCCAAAGCCATGGCCATTAGCCCCAGTGACCAGTTGTACAGTACAGCTGATTAAAGCACTTATTTCTTGGAGAAATTTTTTCCCAAAATTATATCACAGAATGGAACAATGCCCCATCTCATGTCTTTATTGTGTGTTTTTAATTTCACTAATCACCTTTACACTTCTATGGTGACCTTACTTTGGTCCTTTCACTTTTAATTGTAATGATCAACCCATTGTAGAAATGTAATTTCACAAATTCGGTTCGCAGTTAGCAGCGAGGATGTTTGTGTAATTATTGCAAATTTGTGGGTTCATTATAGTTTCTCCAATCTTAAGAGAAGGTTAGTGTAATTATCTTCTTCTTTTCTTTTTTTTCTTCTTAATAATACTATTATACCCTTAAATCAAATTACTAAAAAAGCCAAAATCCTAATTATCTGTATATTCCCATTTCTCTCTAAAACCTTCATCATCCACCATTTTCACCTTAACCGCCATCACTACCACTACCTCTAGAAGTTTCCTCTAACCCTCGTTCCACCCATCTAACCACCACACCAAGCCCCTCCCTACTTTCTATCCTTCCTTTTACTCGTTACTCTCTCTCTCTCTTTTCTTTGTTGCTAGTAATGAGTGGTAGGAATATGTAAGGAGAGAAGGGTGGCAAATGGGTGGAGGGCTTTGAAAAGGATGTTAAATAGGGTGGCGGACAGTAAGGAAAGGGAATGGGTAAAGGGCATTGGGGAAGTAGTGACAAAAATGGCTCAATGCGAAGATGGTTGGAAGGTGAGTGGCGTAGAGTTGGGATTGATTGAGATGTTTGAACACAAAAACAAAATTTTAATTTGAGAGTGGGATCTCTTAAAGAATGGAGTTGTCGAATAACTTTTAAAACAAAAGCTCTTTATGTGGGGAAAAGATGGAGATGACCATTTCATTCTATCATATTTGAAAAGTCTGAATCCCAAAATTAGAGTTCAAGAATTGACCCAGAATGAGTATTGTAATGGGGAAATCAAATTGATGAAATGTAGAGTTTACTAATGAAATGAATTTAAATTATTGATTGTTATTTCTAGATAAATTCTAAATAAATAATTTTTGAGTTTATAATATTACTCATTATATTTTTATTACCACCTGATATAAAACACTCACTAATTTAAATACAAAGGATTCCTTGTAAATATAATTAATATTCAACATATATGAATCAATCATATATAATGTGATAACCAAAACGGTTGGGTTGGGAACTAGAGAGAACTTGAGGGAATCATAGGTCCGTCACGTGTTTCGTTTTAATAATTTGAATTATTCATTTTGTAGGGTCTTCAAGCTATGTTTGTTTGGCCGATTAGGTTGAATGAGATTATAGGTTCGTTTGGCAGGGAGGTTTAGGTTGAGTTAGGATTATTTTAGTTATAAAAAGATAAAATATGTTAAAAAGTCAATAAGATAAAATGTCACATTGAAATCATAATCATTTTATTTTCTCTCTCACAAAAGTCAAAAAGTTCATCTCAAACGAGGCTTTTTAGCCCCAGGCTAAAAAAGTCAAAAAACCAAAATTTCAACCTACATCTCAAACGAAGGCTTAAATATCTGAATTGTAATTAGAGATTGGTTGGGATGATCTGTTAATTTTTTAATTTTAAATAAAATGATATGTAATGTGATATAAAGGTGATACGACCCAAATAAAAAAGTGATATGGATATGATGAGATTTGAATGATGAGATCATTAGTATGATGGTTACTAAGTTGAAAATATAAGATAAAATGTGTTGTTACTACTTTGGTGATATTAATTAGTTGGGATTAAATTTATAAATTCCATAAAACTCTTATCACATATAAAATAACTTTGTTGATTTTGTAAAATGGGAGGCAAAATAGTCTTTTAGCCACCAATCCATGTGATTGGATTAGTAATCCTAACCCTCTCATGAGATTAGCAATTCGATGCCATTTCTCTACAAACAAATATGGTCCAAGTATGGGGCACGAATTGCTAATTCATCTCTCTTCCTAACCCCTCAATCAAATACTCCATGTATATCATTTATAAAAAAAAAAATTAAGTAGATCTAATAATTATAATATTTTCATTTGATTATGTATGTCTTAAATAAATAAAAAAAGATAATAAGTATATTTTTGAAAATAGATTATCTAATTTTTTAGAAATAAATATGATAAAATGAAAAATTTATGATTATTTGATCGAATTAACTTTTTTCATGAATAATATACATGAAATTTTTTTTTATCAAATGAACGATTCATGTTAGCAAAATAAAATTTACGATAACTCTACAATCTTTGAAATTCTATCAAATTTGTAAGGAAAAATAACCAGTAAGTCATATTTTACTCTTACAATTATTACAAAGTCCTATCAAATTTCAATATGGACAATTAAGTCCTATTTTTTATAACATATGTTTAAAAAGATTATTACTCCATAATGGTGGATGTTATCTCAAGTTTACTCCTTATTTCATATCAAAATATTTTTAATCTAAGTAAATTAATATTTTTTAATTATAAAAATTACGATATTGTATTTAAAAAAATCATAAATCATACTGAAAAAATTATTAAAAAAATCCATTTTATTTTGAAAATTATTATTGAATTATATCAAATTTCAATATTAACAAATAAATCTTTTTAAAAAAAAAATTGTTATACTTAAAAAAAGTTCATAATAGTATATTTTATTTTCATTTTATCTTTTTCTTTAAAATGTGAACAAAAAATTCCATAAATAATTTTAATTTATTAGAAAATTTATAATTAAATTAATTTTTAATTGTTCAAATTAAATTATTTTCCATAAATATAAGATTAATATTTTTTACAATTAAAATTTTAAATTATAATCAAGTTAAAGTTATTTATAAAATTATTATTCATATTAAATAAGAAGAATAAAATTGGGATACGACACGTCATTATAAAGTAATGAATCTTTTAGGAATTTTTTTATTGCCCATATTGAAACTTAAGCCCTGTTTGGAAATAAATTATTTTTATTATTTTAGTTTAATTAAAAAAATTACTGAAAATAAATTATTTTTAATTTTTTTATTATTTTAGTTTAATTAAAAAAGTTACATTTAGAATAATAATTAATTTTTTTTATAGTTGATATAATTTTGTTGTTGATTATTTTAACCTAATTCAACTTATCAAACACGGGGCTCATTAGTAATCTCAAGACTTATCAATTAATTTTTCAATTTGTCAAATCACCATTTTATTGTTACACGCGGCGGTTAATAATCGGTGGGGAGAGGATCTTCCTCAAAATCATTAGTTGAACACTTGAACACGCAAATTCCGCGAGGGCGGCACCTGTGTGGCTTAAAAGTCGATTAGTAGTCAAAATGTCAATTAGTATCTCTGTGTCGGCAAATGACAAGACCCCTTGGCTTCGGATTTGGACAATTATTATTATTAAAAAATAATTAATTAGACCAACCCGCTCACAAGATTTGGTTAAAAACAAAAACAAACCAACAGACAAACAAATAAAAAAAAGAAAATGATCGGCAGCACGAATGTGTAGAGTTTGAATAGTCTGAATGGTATGGAAAATATTATTTTATTAGTAAGAGAATAAAAAAAATCTTAAAACAACATCATTTTAAGATTTCGAACCATTCAAGCCTTTGATATTTCGAGCTACTTAGCAGAGTTATAAAAAAAAATAAAAAATCAAGATCTCATGAGTTCAACAAAATTATTCTAAGCCTTTGTTTGAGATATGAATTGATTTTTGGGGTATTTTTTTTAAGGTCCTTGATATTATGATTTTATAGTATAAAGGACATCAACTATTTTCATGATGTCTAAGGTCCCTCAACATCAATCCAGAGAAATTTCAGTCCAGAGAAAATTCGATCCAGAGAAAATTTAACCAGAGAAAATTCAATTCAGAGAAAATTCAATTCAGAGAAAATTCAACCAGAGAAAATTCAATCCAGAGAAATTCTCTTCCTCTCTTCAGTGCAATATTTTCATCTTAGACACCAATATCATTTTAATTTTACTTAAAAAATTGATATAATAATATAAAAGTTGTAAAACCAAGTCCGTGTTTGAAATTGATTTTTTAGTAATTTTTTTGTTTGTTTTTTATTTAAAAAAAATTAAACTTCTAAATTTCACTTAGCTAGACGAATCAGAAAAGTAAAAAAAACAAAAATTGAGAAAAAGTCCACTAAAAACAAACCAAAAAATAACAATAGGATTTTTTGTTTTTGTTTTTGTTTTTGTCTTTACTGAATTTATTTGAATTACGTTTGAGATTCTACTACACTGGATGGACCGAGAAAAATAAAAAGAATTTAACACAATTTTTTTAAAAAATTACCAAAGAAAAAACTTATTAAAAAAATATGACTTCTTAAGTTAAATGTCTAATTCCCTGTGGTTCGTGGGAGTCGAGCTTATTCCCTATGGTTATAATTGTGTAAAATACTGTTTAATTTGTTAAAATTATACCGATTCTCATCAATTCGTATCGTTTAATTTACTATTCGCGGATTAAACTTTAAATTTTATAATTTGCCTTCGAAATCGTTCCGCTCCACTATAGTTAATATATATATATTTTTTAACTTATAATGAAATATCAAAATAAAAATGAGTGTGCGCGAGATTTAGATATGTGAAATTTGTTACAAATTAATAGTTATACATATGAAAAATGTTATATAAAATTAGTTTGTGTTATATATATGAAAAATATTATGTAAATTAGTATTATATATTATGCAAATTATTAATAAGTGATTAAAATATTTTTCAATCCGTCAATCCATCTAAAATCGTCAAAACCGTGATTTACCAATCTACCTATCCGCCAATCCACCATTTGATTTATAATTTTACTCTCAAACAATCTGAATCACATCACACACACCCCTATCTATAGTCAGTAAGAGCAGAACTTGAAATTTTAGAAGAAATAAATTTCAAGTCTCATATTTTATTTGCCGTTAAAAAAAAAAGTCTCATATTTTAGGGTTAGTCAAACAAAGAATTATTTTGAAAACTAATTATTTTATTTTTTATTAAAAGATGTATAAAAAAATAAAAAATAGTTAATTTTTTAATAATAATCACTGTGTTTGGTTTGAGTTTTTTGGATTAAGTTTTTTAAAAATTGAGTTTTTTAATTTTCGTATTTTTTTGTTTTTAGTGAATATTTTTAAAATTTTAAATATTTTTTTTTATTTTTTTAGATGCACATTACTTAGATATGTCTAAAAAGTAAAAAAATTGTGAAAAAATATTTTAAAAAATTAAGAAATACATAAAAATACAAAAAACGTATTAAATTCTTATATTTTTTTATATTTTTGGTATTTAGTGAATTTTTAAAAGAATTTTTTTACAATTTTTTTATTTTTTAAGTGTATTTATGTTAGGTGTGTCTAAAAAGTAAAAAAATTACATAAAATATTTAAAAAATTCAGTAAAAATAAAAAATTACGAAAAATAAGTATAGAATATTTTGAAAATTATTTTTAAAAAATGAGAATCAAGCAAAGTAATATATTTTTCTTAACTAAAATAGTTTATAGGCAAACTTGCCTTAATGCAATTTATCTTTATTTTTTTTAAAAAAAAAAAAATCCATTTAGACGGCATCCGTAGTCTCTCACACGGCCACGCGCCTCCGTATCTTTATTACAACGACCGAATGTTTAGAACTGTAATCACCATTTTTATTTTTGCTAGTAATAAACACACAGCCAACTTCAAACTCTCTTCTCTCTCTCTCTCTCTCTCTCTGCCCTACTATTATATCTATCTACTAATAAAAGCCTCTCACAAACTTCCAAATCTCGATCCAATCCAATCCAATCCAATCCAATCCAAACCCTCAACAACAGTCTATTATCCCTCTCTCTCGCTCCCAACTGAATCTTCAAAAAAAAAAAAATGTCGTTTTTCTTGGGACTCGTGATCGGAATCGTCGCCGGAATCGCTCTCATCGTCGGCTTTGTTCGATCCGAGAACTCTCGATCCAAGCGTCGCTCTCAACTCGTATGCTTTCTCACTACTTCAAACTCATTCATTCATTCATATTATAAATAAATATAATTAATGTGAGATTTTGATTGATTTGATTGATTTTGAAATTGAAGGCCACCACGATCGCTGCGTTTGCGAGGATGACTGTGGAAGATTCTAGGAAGCTTCTCGCCCCTGAGTACTACCCTTCCTGGGTTGTCTTCTCTCAGCGACAGAAGGTACACTGGAGACCTTTGTCAACTGCTATTTTTACTACTAGTACATTTTCCCCCTCCTCACCCCTTTCTGTTTTTACTAATATCTTTTATTAAAAAAAAAAAATTTGTTGTAAAATTATTTTACTTTTTAAATTCCTCTAGTTTTTTCAAAAATTGTACCAAATTTAAATACAGTTCACTAAAATAAAACAATAAAACGGCAACAAATTTTGTGTTTTTTTTTTTTTTCTTAATAATAATTTGCAGGACATCTAATCAATTAGTACTAAAAAGTAAACAATTTTGACAAATCTTTTAAAAAAAGTTCACTAATTAAAGAGAGATAAAAAAACTGACAAAAAAATATGTATCTATGTATGTACATTAGAAGAGTACGCACACAAATGTGTAGGAGTGTAAGAAAAACCGAGGTAACCAAACAAACCACTCTAGACCGACCAGAATTTCGGTTTTACTGTTTGTTTTTCATAACTTATGTTTGTTTCGGTTTTGAAAAATTTTACACTGATACAAACCAAATCGACTGAAATATTTAAATAATTTTATATTTTAATTCTTTGAGTATTAGGATATAAGTAACAAATAATATGTGTTTTCGTAATTAAAATTAAGGAGGAAGGTATTTATAGAATAACTTTCACCATTTTTCTTCGTTTATTTCTAATGTGAGATTTTTTACAAATTTTGATATAACCCTTCAAAATCTCATGAAACTCCTTCCACTATATAAAAATGACAAAACCAAACAGTTTGTTTTGGTTTCTCAACTAACAAAACCAAAAAGTTCGGTTCAATGCTAAATTCTCCCTCAATCCTGACCGAACCATGTTGTGCACAGGGCCTAGAAACAAACACAAACAAGCAACCAAACAAGAACACACAAAGATTTACGTGGTTTGGTAGATCACCTACGTCCACGGGAGCAAATTTTCACTAAACTTGAGGATGAAAATTACAAAACAAAGCAAGATTACAAATGGAGAAGGAGGAGGCAACATTCTCAAACTCAACTCACACTCACTCCCACTTGAATACTTACTTCCTCTTCACTTGTTTGCCTTCAGACGCTCTTGCTCGCTTTGCTTTTTCCACTCTAGTAGCACCCCTATTTATACGACAAAATTGAAGGACAAGAAGGTACTTTTCGATGGCTTCAACTTGCCAAGGCAAGTTGCCAACTTGCAAGGGTTCTAGAAGGTGAGCCAACTCATAATTCTAGAATCTGAGCCAAACCCAATGAGTTGACTCCATGAGCCACTTAGTGAATCAACTCAATTCAACAATTCTCCACCTTCGCGAAGATTCTCCAACTTTTACACCAAAACAATCAAATCACGCAAACTCGAATAGAACTCCACCTTAGTGAGATACCAATCTAAACAAGTGCCTTAGAGTGAGCACAAAACAAATGCCAAATGAACCAAGCGAATGTTTGAGATGCATCAATCCAAGACAAACTGCAAAATGAATCAAACCAGTTTGCTAATTATTCTGCAATAAGGAACCAAATTCCAAATGCCCTCATGGTGCCAAGTTCCAATCGCCAAACAATTCGTCTTTGACAACTTCAAACAAACTATGATGAACAACTGCTTGAACCGATACTGAGGAGACTCATCCAAAATAGTGGAGGCTTCAAATTCTCCTTTTGAGCAAATTTGAAAGTGGTACCAAATTCAAACTTCAAATCCCAATTGACTCCACTGAGTCTGCAAATGATCTATCTCCTCCAAATCCAATAGCAGATTGAGAGACAGTTCCAAATACGACAAGAAGGCTACAAACAAAGTTTCCAAAAGTTTTCCTTCCACAAGGATGAGATTTAGAATCACATCTTCAAGTTTCTCATCCACAATCTTCTCTCCAATCTTCAACAACCACTATTGGTGTCTTCGAATATGGTTCAGAAGAACAATGCAAATCATGCAAATCCACAAGAGGAAGAAGCGGTCATAAGTCAAAAACAAAACTTCAAAGAAGTCGCCAAGGATCTAGGGAAGACCGCCAAAACAATGCCTCCAAGAAGCTGCAAGAGGACGCTAAAGCTCCACCAAGATCTTCAGTAGATTGCCACAAGATCTTCTTTCAAATCAAGGCCACCTAAAATTCAGAATGATCAAAATCGTCCTGTGCTACATTGGAATTAGAATCATCATTTTATTTCTTCTTCAAAGCTGGACAATCCTTCTTCCAATGCCCCTTCTAGTGACAATAGGCACACTAATCCTTCTCAGGATCAAATCTATCAGTTGAAGCTCCTACCGACTTCGAATGGGGTCTACCCCTAACTGTTAAAACTTCACTAGAAGTGTCACTGCAGGCCTCTTTATCCTTCTTCCTGTACTCATTATTCACTAAGGTATTCGAAACTTCCACAAAACTGATTTTCTCCTTTCCATGCAGTAATGTGGTTGTCAGGTGATCATATGTGTCAGGTAAGAAATTTAACAACAACAAAGCTTTATCTTCTTTTTCAATTTCAACATTTGGATTCAATAAATCGGCAAGAATTTTATTGAAACCATCTAGATGTTCTATCATTGAAGTACCTCTTTTGTATTGGAAACGGAAGCGCTGCTTTTTCAAGTAGAGCCAATTCTCTGCACTCTTCGTCATGTATTTTTCTTCCAGTTTCTTCCATAATTCCTTTGCAGAAATCTCTCTCTTAATGAAGTATATATATTTTTTTGCTAGGCATAATTGAATGGTGCCACAAGCTTGGCAGTTGATGAGTGCCCATTCCTTATCACCCATATCAACAGGTTTGTCTTCCAAAGCGATGTCGACTTCTTGCTGGTAGAGAACATCCATAACTTCGCATTGCCACATGCCGAAGTTGTTAGTTCCATCAAATTTCTTCACCTCGAACTTTGCGTTGGACACTGTAGTCCTTCACCTTGAGCTACTTGAAGAGCCAGTTGCCTTTGGTGCTGAACCTTCTGCCATTAGAACTCTTCTAATCTCCACCACAAGTAATGACGGATGCTTGAAATGCCTGAAACACAACGATTTCTAAGCTCCCAAAGGCTTCACTCAAACTTCGGGTTAGAATCTCGAAAAATGGAATCCGCAATTGTGTCCAAAACAATCGATTTGGCTAGGAACAAATCTTCTCGTGTCAAAAACAGCCTAAAATTGACCGAAAATTTTTTCCAGGAATATTCTGCCCAAGAACAGAATATACCGTCAACAATGACCGTGACACTAACGTGGCAGAGACTGCTGTGGCTAACACGTGTTTAACATGTGGCACACCGAGTTTGATTGGGTGTTGACGTGTCTTCCAACATGATAGGTGACATGACAGTAACGTGTCACCTATGTGGCGGTGACATAGCGGATGACCTGGAATTGGCGTGGCACTATGCTCAACTACGACTTGGTGCTGATCGGCTCTGAGGTCGGCTGAGTTGATCAGCTTATGAGATCTGCTTCCGAACATTGTTGATGATGTCTCAATGACGTCATGCTATCCAGTCCTCTGGGGAAGATGCGTGAAAGGCGTGGCTGCGAGTTGACCTCACCCATAACTTTGACCAGCACGTGAGGGAGCATCTGACCGACTCAATTTTTGCATCGTTGGACTCTTGAAATCGAGACGAACACGAAGGTGTATTCAAAAGTTTGGTAGGACAAAGTTAATTTCTGGGCAGATTAAAAAAACAGAGCTTTGTTTCACAACTTGGGTGCTCTGATACCAGTTTGTTGTGCCCAGGACCCAGAAACAAACACAAACAAGCAACTAAACAACCTCTGGTTTTGCTCCATTGAACTTTCCGATGCGGTCACATACATGGGAGCGGATTTTCACTAAACTTGAGGAACAAAATTACTAAACAAAATAAGATTACAAATGGAAGAGGAGGAGGAGGAGGAGGAGGAGGCAACACTCTCAAACTCAACTCACACTCACTCACACTTGAATACTCACTTCCTCTTCACTTGCTTGCCTTCAAATGCTCTTGCTTGCTCTGCTTTTTCCACTCTACTAGCACCCTTATACAACAAAATTGGAGGACAAAAGGATACTCTTCCATGGCTTCAACTTGCCAAGGCAAGTTGGCAAGTTGCCAACTTGCAAGGCTTCTAGAAGGTGAGCCAACTCAGAATTCTAGAATCTGAGCCAAACCCAGTTGACTCAATGAGCCACTCAATGAATGAACTCAATTCAACAAACCGAACCATTTACACCTCTACTAATGTGTGCACAAGAAATTGTGGGTGGGAGTGGAGAGAGAGTTGTGTAATCGATAACAGTTATTGGTTTAGTGATTTTACTTTTTTGTCATAACTAATTTGGAGACAATATAATATTGTTGTGGATTTTTCGGAAATCAAAGTTGTGACAAAGTTGTTCATGCCGAGTGAATTGTGTGCTTTATACAATAGTATATATATAGTTTCTATTTCTATTTGATTACATATATCTCAATGGGGTACTTATTGTGTGCCTGTGTTTTGCAGTTGACATGGCTCAACCTTCATCTCACAAAGATCTGGCCCTATGTTGATGAGGTGACATTTTACTAGTTCGATTCACTTTAGACCTCATTTTTGCTCTGGTGTTACTTATTATTGTGACTCTGTATAGATGTGCATGCTTATAAACGGAGATACCCACATGTCTCTATCTGATGTTATATCATTGCTGATTTGGTGTTGTAGGCAGCATCTGAGCTTATAAAGACAAGTGTTGAGCCAGTTCTTGAACAATATAGACCGGTTATACTGTCTTCTTTGAAATTCTCAAAGTTCACCCTTGGTACTGTTGCCCCACAATTTACAGGTTAGAGCAAATTACCACACAAAGTATTCCAGGTTTTTTAATTTGAATGTAGATTACACTACAGATAAATCCAAGAATTTAAGTCCATACAAGTAGTTGAGTATTTAAATATAGAATCCACAAATGTACATGTTAATCTAAAGTAGAGTAGTACAAGTGTTGTCACTAGCTTTTGCAGCATTTTGAAAATATACAATAGCTCTTTTTGCTGAAGAAAAACATTCATGAAGGTTTTACTGATGCTGTATTATTTTTTGATTAGTGAAAAAGGGGTGCAACCCATACACACATATGTAAAACAATAGCCTATATTCTCCTAGGAGAAACAAATAATCCAGGTTTTCTATATTCTCCTGATCTTGTTATTTAGGGATTTCCATTATTGAAGATGGAGGTGATGGTATAACGATGGAGTTAGAGATGAATTGGGATGGGAATCCAAGTATAATACTTGATATTAAGACTAGATTTGGCGTGGCACTACCTGTGCAGGTAAATTATAGCTTTCTTCAATTACTTATGGGATCTACTTCTGTTAGTTTTACTAGTCGTCATCCAGACAAGGATCATTTAATTGTGAGCATTGTGTTACTCTGGAACTGTGAGAACTCTCTCTCTCTCTTTTGAAACATCACATTTTTTGCTTCTCCTTCACTTTCCAACCACATGTAGCCTAAGATCCAGTTTATTACTTGCATTTGTATCCGGAAAGCCATTCTATTTGGTACTTATCTGCTGAAGGATCTTTCTGAAGTTTTATCTTAATTGTTTTGTACAATAACAAGATATTAAGATATGTAGCTCTGACATTTGTATAGCCCTAACGCTCTTGATTCTTTTCTATATGTAGGTGAAGGATATTGGATTCACCGGGATTTTCAGATTGATCTTTAAGCCGCTAGTTGATGAGTTCCCTTGCTTTGGGGCTGTATGTTATTCTTTAAGAAAAAAGGTGCATTTTTTAAAACGTTTTTGAAGTCTTCCTCTTAAAGTTTTTGAAGCATGCTTGAACTTTTATTCAGACTTGAATAGGATTATATTCGAACTCTGGATATATATATATATATATATAAATTTACTGTAGAACCAGTGATTTTCTTCTCAAGATTGATGGATTGAGTTTGGATATCATATAATCCTTTAAATGCATTGCACATGTGCACAATTCTGTATAGGGTACCTTTGATATTGATCTTTGATTGACTGTGTTTAACATATAGAAATAACTACATTTTATATGTAAGTTTACATTTGGCCCATATGTTTTGGATCTGGAGATACTCCAAATGCAACACTTTTTTAGGCTTCGCCTCTCCCCAGCAACTATGTGTGTGTGTGTCTATTTGTCTTTGTCTTTGTCTTTGTCTTTGTCTTTCTCTCCCATACATGCACACATATATACATGCTTATTCCTAGAAATACATGTACACATAAAACCAAACATGTGTGGTGGAGCCAATATCCCTTTTTTTTTCTCTTGCAGAAAAAGATGGATTTCAAACTTAAAGTTATTGGCGGAGATATTAAAACAATACCTGGTCTTTCTGATGCTATTGAGGTTTGGCGACTTTTTACTGTTGGATTTTGTTCTCTCGTAGTATATATATAACTGATGTAAAGTTCAATGTGATATGATATATATGAGTATATAGCATGTTGGTTTCATATATAGCATGTTGAATGTAATAGCATCCTGTAAATGTTCTATGTAATTCCTAGCAAGTAGATGCAAACTTAATGTTAGAACATATGTGAAGGTAGAGTCCCATATAGAAAGTAAATGGTTTACGTCTTAATATACATTGGATGGACTGTTCGCTTACAGGTCTAAGCTTTTAAGTAGGTATGAGTTCCAAATAGTGTATGTTTGGCCCTATTGTTGTCGCATGTATGACTCTGGAGTTTCTCCCTGATGGATTGGGTCTATATTGTTGCTCGTTCGTGGGCTCCTCCAATTACCCCTAAACTTAAATGTCTCGAAATCTTGTGAAACCACATGATATGCTGCTATGGCATGGTCAAAGATATGATATTTCGTCAAACTTACAATCATTTTTTTTACAAGTTAAATCCCTGGAGCTCCATGTGTATACTTCATGTATCAATGAGTTATTGTAGATTTTGCATAGCAGATGATTATTTGACATGAAGAGAGGGTATGATTGCAAAATTCGCAAAAAAAAGAGATTTTGTGCCTGTTTGGCAACTTTGCTTTTTAGTGGCTTTTGGCTTTTTTATGAGTTGAAAAAAGGTTGTGTGTTTGGAATGGTTTTTTAGCTGAATAGATAGTTGGAGCGACCAGTTACTCCTATCATAACCTCTTCTGGTTCATGCTATCTAGATATACTACATGAAGCGACCAATTACTTAGTGAGATCTCTACAATTTGACTACCAGGTTTTATCATGTAAGAAAATGTTTGAAATTCATAAATCCTTACTTCCAATGAAAGATGAGGGGAAAGTTTTATTTTTAATTACACTATAACAGCATATCTCCAGTTATCAAAAAAAAAAATAACAGCATATCTCCACTTTGAAAGATTTTAAGATTTTTAGTATGTTTTCCAAGATTTTGGGTGTGTTTGGTTTGTGTTTTGAGATAAATTTTCAAAAAAAAATTGGAGGAAAGAGTTTAGAAATTTTTTTAGTTTGTTTGGTTGTATATTTTGAAAATAGTTTGGGAGTTTGGGATGATTTGATATTTTGTTATAGTTGAGTAAATTTGTGTGAGGAAAAAAGTGATTGAGAAGGAGAGAGGAGAGAGGAGAGAGAAAAAGTGATTGATTGATGGGTAGGAGATAGGAAGTGATTTTGAAATTTTTTAAAAAAAAATTTAAACCAAACAAAATTTTAAAAAATTTCTCAAAAATTATATCTTGAGATACAAACCAAACAAGCCCTTTAAGTTTGATGTCTCTGTGGTTTTGAGATAATTTTGGATTAATGGTTATGCTTGTGTTGAATGTCTCATTATTTGATATACATTCATGGTTATGCAGATTGTTGTTACTTGCGGGTGGGTGATGTGTCTGCACATTTGTGTTATTGTCATCTACTTTCTGTTTGTAGAAAGTGTCAAAATAGATGTAGTATGATGAACAAATTAGATTTATCTGTATGTTTATTTGTAGATAGATTTATCTATATGTTTGCTTGTGTATGTGGTGACTAGTAAGTGGTACGTTTTCGTATTATGTTTGCATGATTAAATAGCTCTTTAGATTCTAGTTTTCAATGTTTGACTTGTTCCTTTAATTTTCTTGTGGAATACAATATATGCATGTGATTTGAATTTAATAGTGTGGAACTTTGTTTGCGATATTTATATTATTATTATATATAATATATCATAATAAAGCAGCATTTTCATTTGTTGCAGGGGACTATACGTGATGCCATTGAAGATTCTATTACTTGGCCGGTTCGGAAAATTGTACCAATTTTGCCTGGGGATTACAGGTATGGCTGTAAATGGAGAAGATTTTATAAAAATAAGTATGACCAACCAATGGACTTTTATGCAAGTGGCATGCGGGTGTGCAAGCTCTCTTATTTTTGATAAATAAAATACTATTAAACGCATTTATATTCCAAGAAGCAATGGATAATGCCCTCTTCCCACTGAAGGAAAGCTTCCAATACATTGTAAATGATGAATTATTATCATGTAAAAGATGTAGATTTGTCGAGAGAAACCATACGTACTCATGGAAAACCCAGAGGGTGGAAGGGTGACTATACAGTTTGAAGAATGCAATAGAAGAACATTTAAATGGGTTGAACTCTATTCAAATTTTATCGAGAGCTTAATCATGTATTTGTTGTCTTTATGGGGCTTGTGATTCATTTTAAACATGGTTCCCCTACTTTTATTTTTTGAACTGCCATTTAATTTCTTCATTTGCTTCTTTAAACTTCGTGCATAGATTTCTATGTTCTTACACACTGATTAATGCAAAAATTACTTTTTGTCTATTGAAAATATCCTTAACGATTTCCAACCCTAGGATGAAAAGGTAAGACATCCTTGTTTCTGTTTAATTTTGGGACCGATTAATGAAAAGTTACTTTTTATCTATTGAAAAATATCCTTAATGATATCCAACCTTAGGATGAAGATGAACCATCTGCCTAAGGTAAGAAATCCTTGTTTCTGGTTAATTTTTGGGACTGACGCAGGCCTTGGTTGTGCAACATAGGCTTTATACCTAAACCTGCATCCCATCTTTTGGTTAGCTTCTGGATTCTTCTTGACCTCTAGTGTTTCTGTCTTTTGCAGTGACCTAGAGCTGAAGCCTGTTGGAGTTTTAGAGGTGAAACTCGTTCAAGCAAAGGAGTTAACAAATAAGGACATCATTGGGAAATCTGATCCTTTTGCTGTGTTATACATACGCCCTCTGCCTGATAGAATGAAAACTAGCAAAACAATTGTAAGTTTATATTCCCTTCTAGGATTTTGTGTTATCGTTTCGATCAATTAAAGAAGCATTTTGTGTTGTTTCCCATCAGGACAATCAGTTGAATCCAGTATGGAATGAGCACTTTCAATTTGTTGTTGAAGATTCATCCACACAACACTTGGTGGTAAAAGTTTATGATGATGAAGGGATTCAGGCAGCGGAATTCATTGGATGTACTCAAATACGACTGAATGAACTTGAGCCTGGTAAAGTAAAGGATGTGTGGTTGAAGTTAGTGAAAGATTTAGAGGTTCAGAGAGATAATAAAAACCGGGGCGAGGTGAGAACTCTATGCTCCTTGTTTTCTTATTGGATTAATAAATCAGTTGGAATATATAAACAATCGAGTTACCATATTATATATTGTACATCTGTAAGGTCCATAGGAGCCATTTTGTTTATAGTAATGAATTTCTCTGAAGAGGTGGAATCAGCTTCATAAATTACAAAGTTAACCTGCAATGTATTGGCTCTGGAATTGTTAGGAGGACAAATCATCACAACATCATGCAAGTCTTCCTCATATAAGATTTATAAAATCTATGGAGAAGAAGGATTCATGTAGCCGATCCCATTTAATGGGACTTAAGACTTGGTTTGGTTATGGTTTCATGATTTGTTTCCTCTTTCCAAACAGCCTTCTTTTCCGTGAAAAATAAAACTGCATTGTCTAGCATTCTGTATTAAATCTTGTTCAATGAGAGTACTCGTTATCTCAAAAACCTGTTGCCTACCTTTTTCAATGCATTTCAAGTTCCATTTTCACAGTGACTTGTCTTTAAATCTCTCTTTTTTTTCCCCCTATCATTAATAATTGGATCAAATCATCTCCCTTATTTTTGTCACAATTTTGATCATCTGACTGGTTCCTTAGGAAATCAAACCCTAATAATGCCTCCATGATCCCTTCAGACTTTGACCAAGGAGTAGTTGAGATTGTGGTTTGAGTATGTGTCTTTATGGTGCTGGTAAAATGACAGACAATAACTGCTTAGAGAGTTTAGTATAATTGTAATTGTAATTTCTCGAGGAAAAAAGAGTTTTGGTGCACTTACTATATAAGTTCAATATAAAATTGTTTGAATGATACTGCATTTCCTATCATCTATATTTTATTCAGTTGTCTTCCGTTTTTTCTTTCTTTCTTTATTTTTTTTTAGGTCCATTTGGAGCTATTATACTGTCCTTTCGGCATGAAGAATGGGTTTACTAACCCTTTTACCCCAGACTTTTCAATGACCTCATTGGAAAAGGTTCTTAAACATAGTGCAGAAGGAAACGAAGCTGCCGAAAATGGAACAGTAGTCACACAGAAAAGAAGGGAAGTAATTGTAAGGGGAGTACTTTCTGTTACTGTGATATCTGCTGAGGACTTGCCACCAGCGGACCTAATGGGGAAGGCTGACCCCTACGTTGTGATCACTATGAAAAAAACAGAATCAAAAAATAAAACTAGGGTACTTCTCTCTCTCTGGATGCTTGCATTGTTCCTGAATGCTTGCACATTTCCTCGATTTCTAAAGTTGTTTTGTGTTCTTAGGTTGTGAATGAGAGTCTGAATCCAGTATGGAATCAAACTTTTGACTTTGTTGTGGAGGATGGATTACACGATATGCTTATTCTGGAAGTCTGGGACCATGACACGTTTGGGAAGGTAGAAAATTCCTGCTATTTATTCCTGTTTTCCTTCATTTGTTGGTAAGAAAATATGACGTAGATTTTGTGAATTGACATGGATGAGGAAGTAGTTTTACGTCGATTAACCCTCAGATATGGAGCATATAGACAGATATTAACAATGCTCAAAACTATGCCTACTTCTATTACTCTAAAAAATTCAAATTAGAACATCCTAAACAACCCCAATGTTACAGCACTAGGTACTGCTTATACCTTGCAATGGCGACTTGGACCTTATTGTTTCAAAAATTATTCTATATGGTTTAATCTTTTTGTATTTAATTTTGTGCTTTTCCTTCACCGTGCAGGACTATATGGGCCGATGCATCATGACGCTGACAAGGGCCATACTGGAAGGGGAATACAAAGACAGTTTTCCACTAGACGGGGCTAAATCAGGAAAACTCAATTTGCATATCAAGTGGTCGCCTCAACCAATTTACCGCGATTCATAGCAGTCCTTAGTTCCCAAATCTTGTGAGTATGTACTCGTAGCTTGTGTGAATTATGCCCGTGGCTCCACATAAGAGGTGTACAGAGAACATCACTCCAATCCCCTCTTGCACAATTAATGATCATTGAAATCTTAGGTTATCAAATTGTTGTATGAAAAAACTTGCTGTATATATAATTGTTTGAGTAGTGCGGAGAGAACACTGTAAACTTGTGATAGTTTTGTTGTGGATTTTTTGAACAAAAATAAAAATATAAAACAAGTAGTTACAGGTTATTGATTAAAGGATGATTTTGTGAAATGCACAATCTTTGGATGGCCAGGCTGTTTGGGTTCCGCTAGTACTTAATGAGGGTTCATCTTTCCGTATATATCTAGTGTACTCCTAAACTGTATGTGAAGCGGCGATTTTGGCGGGTGACAGATTACTGCTATTGCCACTCAACCTCGTTTCTGGCAAGAATTGAAACCCCTAACTCTCATATTTGCAGCTGAGTTGGGATTACATTCAATTCATTTGGAAGGGGACTCCTTGAATGTAATCTCGGATATTCGGAAAGCAAAAGACTCCTTTTCTGCAATAGGCCATGTCACTCATGCAATCTCAGTGTTCGGGCAATCGTTTTGAAGCTTTGGTACATCCCCATATTGGCAGGGAGGGGAACAAAGTTGCTCGAATAGCGACGCGCCTTCTCCGGTACAAATATGAGAGAAATAAATCAAATATAAAAGTTCAAAGCGAGGATAATCTTCCATCACATGTGAGAGACTAAAAACATTTCAATGTTCAGATAAAAATAGATCAAATATAGAAGTTAAAATAACATGAATTTAACCAAAAATCCAACAACAAAAAACCTTCGAAATGGATGGCTCCCCTCTTTGAAGTCTAATTTAAAAAGACCACCATTAGAAGTTCTCCCCAAGAAATGGGTTTTGGTTAAAAGATTGTACATTCCTCAACTACTAAAATGTACAATTATTTTAGAGAAAATTATGAAAAAAATTTCAAGATTTTGACTGTTTTAACAAAATAAATTATGAATTTTTAATTACTCAATGTAAACTCTAACATTTTAATTTGTTTTTAATTTAAACTATCTGTTTATTTTCATTAAGTAAAATTGATAAAACAGTCAATTTTAAACTCTAACATTAAGTAAAATTGATAGGAAAATAGTATTTTAGCCATTAAACTTAATGTAAGTAAATATATAAAATGTCTAAAATATAATGTTTTACTTTTTCGTTGAGTTTAACGACTAAAATATTATCTTTTTCATCGGTTTTACTTAACAAAAATAAACAAGTGGTTTAAATTGAAAACAAGTTAAAAAATTGAAGTTTAAATTGACAAAATAAAAAACTCAAGATTTATTTTGTTATAAGGGTCAAATCCGAAGGGTTTTTTTTTTGTGTGGGAACTTCTCCATTATTCTAACTAGGCTTGACTCGGCCGGTGTCCATCCTTACTACTTATCTATGAGTCTTTTCTTATTGTTTAACAGAACCTGCCTAAGTTACTCCCTACATTTTATTCAATATCAAGTGACAATGTTAAGAGAAGGCACACCAACTGAATAAATAAAAAATCTCGACTAACTCAATAAAATGGAATGGATATTCATAACATGCCTTCTTTAGTTTGGTTAAAAGCAAATTTTTTTGATGAATTTTTCGTTTATTATTATTTTTTTGAAATTTTTTAGAATCTCTTGGATTGAGTTTTTGATGTTTTATCAAAAACTAAAATTAAATTTTAGTAAAATAAAATAAAAACTATTAAAAACAAAAACTAATTCAAAATGAGAAATATTATATTCAAGTACTAACATAAGCATTTCACATTAAGGCCAATTATTGAGTGGGCTCACATTGCCAACATAGCTAGCAAAATTAAGATACACTCTCAAAAATTATGAGTGATCCACTCAAGTAATGAAGCATATTACTATAAACAACATAACAATTCCATCATGGTGGGAACAATAATTTTGTGAGCCCCAAAATGCTAGCAAAATTCTAATCATAATGTAGGATAAAAAAAAATCACTTTTTGATCATATATTGTGTGACAATTAGGTTCAATTCTAGTAGTAAAATGAATCAAATTGTGTAGCAAGTAAGATCAATTCTAGTGATAAGTAAGACCATGAGAATAATTTCATTTTCAAAAAAAAGAAAAAAAAAAACGCACTTTTTTGCATCCAATTTTACTTATTATTTGTCAACAATTTTATTTTCTCCTTATTTAGATCTTATGATTGATATTGATTAGTGTCTTGCATATCAGAGTTAGGATTTTGATGTTAGAGTTGTCAAAGAAAATATATCGATAGTTTCTACTGACTGAAGGGTGAGTTTAAATCTTTTACATAATCATTATAATATTATTTAATATTGGCTAATTGAATCAATAAAAAATTATAACAGAGTAGTAATTGTATCAGTTTAGACATGCCACCTCATGGCTTATACAATTATTTGAACTTTACCTGAACTATACTCGATCCAATTGATGTCTATTTTTACTATCTATAGGTGAGTCTTTTTTGTTTGAGACCTTTCATGTATTTGTTAGACTTTTTATAAATTTAAACTCTATTTGAACTAGTTTCAACCCGGCCAATGCCAATTCTTACAACTTCTGTGTAAGTTTTTTCTATTTGGAGTTTTTCATGTATAGAGAAACCCCTCTTTAAATTGCAACCGAAAAACAAAACTTAACTCAAATCTACTATGCAGGGTCACTTAGGGCATGTTCTCCACAAGACACTAATCATATTTTATGAGTTATGGATGCCTATAGTGGCTCACAAGAAGCAAATTTTCAAAAGTTCTCTCTTATATTTTAAATAAACAAATAAAAACTCAGAAAGATCAAAATATAGAGAAAAGTTTTTAAGCCCTCGTTTGGCATAAACTAAATTGGAGTTTTTTGACTAAAATAATCACAAAATAATAAAATAGACTTTTTAATTAATAAGGTAAAATGTCACATTCAAAACATAATTATTTTAATTTTTTTCTCAAAAAAATTAAAAAATCAAACGATACTTTTTAATCCTAAATTAAAATAATCAAAAAGTCAAAAACCAATCCACATTCCAAACGAATCCTAAAGTGGAAAAAAGAAAGTAAGAGAAGCATTCTCCAAGACAAAAACGTGGGGTTTTGTTTTTGATGACATATATTCTCTTTCGTAGATGCTTTTAGATTCGAATATGCTTAGCTAGCTCTTTCTCTGTCTTTCGCGACCTTTCTTGCTGTTTGTCTGTTTCAGTGGGTTACATGGTCAAATTATTTCGTTAATTGCACTTAAATAATTTATCATTATTATATATATATATAGCGATTATATCAAACATTATTATTAGTATTTTGCTTGTTAGAATGAATATATTTGATTTATAGATTCATGGATCAGCCTGAGCCTAATCCGACCCAAGTTTTGAAATTAGGTCTAACTTAATATTCGGCTCAAATTAAAAAAGTAAATTAGTCTTTAGGAATTAGGATTTTAAAAATTTAGGAATCAAACCGTAAAAATGGTTGCGAACGAGTTTAGGTTAGAAATTTCATCATTTTATCCATAATATCAAGTTCAATAATAAATTCATTATAAAACAAAAAAACTCTCAAGTACATTTAAAAATTCAACAATGCTACGAACCCCCAGTACGGACGACCCCCAGTGCCACCCCCAGTGACGTGGCAACGTGTGATTGGCCGAAATCCAAAAAAAAAAAAAAAAAACAATTTTTGCACCAATCAGGGACGACCCCCAGGGGGTCTAAGTCATTTTTCTTAAAAATTACATATTATTCTCTAACCCAAGTTTTATAATGGGTAAAAGCACATATTTTTAAGGCTTGGGACCCTCGTTGGGGGGAGAACCCCAGCACTATCAGTGGGCGGTCATTGGCCAAATTTTTTTATTTTTTATTTTTTTTCTCTCTCTCAAATCATTAACCCTCACGTATGTGTGGAGTAGTGGGGGTGGGAGATGGTGGGGGTCTGTATCATGGTTGTAAAAAACTATATAATGTGTAAAAATCTTATTTATAACTCATAATTATTCTATTATTTTGAGTCTTAATTTGATAATCAAACCGTAATCAATGATTCTTAGGCCTAGTTTGGCATCTACTATATAATTCATCTTTTTATCTTTTTTCCATCACATCACCTCTCTACTTTTCTGCACATCTTTTCGTAAAAAGACAAAAAATGTATTTTTTTAAGACACCCCAAACTAACCTTTATTTACTTGGAATGAAAACCTAAACACCTTCTCAAAAAATGAAACTGAACTTTTTAATAATTTGAATAGATCCGTATTAATTTTTCAATTATACATTTTTTTCTTAAATACTCAGATATAAAAAGTCTCTGTCAATGCAAGATCTAGGTAAGGGATATTAAAATTGACACACCTCAAAATTTGACGAGTTCGTTATCCGAATTTAAGAATAAATTATATAGTGATTAATTAGGAAAATAAATGCTAAAATTTGAATCCAAATTGTGATTTATTTGATACTTAAAGGTCCGTCCTTCAACTAACTGGGCTAGTCTTAGAGCATCTCCACAAGTAATAGACATTTTACTTATCTAAATATTACTATAAAGTATATATTTTATGTTGCCTATCAACTATTTCATGTTTTTATTCCGACCATGCTCTTTATTTTAGCAATTCATCTAAATACTATTAATTTTATAATATGTCACATCAACAACAAAAATGGAGAGAAATGATCCTAATGATTAAATACATTTTGCCTAGCCTTGATGGCTACATGTAGCTAGTGAATGTGAGTTGAGCTAAAATGCCTAATCATCTGCCTAGTGCATTAGAGTTAAAAAAAATAAATTATACTAAGTATTTTGACTAACAAGCATTATATACCTAGTGAGTTGGAAATGCTCTTAGGCAGTGGCGGAGCCAGGAAAATAAATTAGAGGGGACACTTATTGATTATAATATTAAAAATATTTACAAAAATATTTCACATGAATTTTTACGATTGACTTCAAGAAATATAAAAAAATAAAAAATAATCAGTGTGTTTAATTTGAGTTTTTTGAATTAAGTTTTTTGAAAATTGAGTTTTTTATTTTTATTTTTATTTTATTTTTTTGTTTTTAGTGAATATTTTTAAAATTTTAAACAATTTTTTTTACTTTTTTAGATACATGATGTATCTAAAAAAAATAAAATGTTTGTGAAAAAATATTTTAAAAATTAATAAATACATAAAAATAAGAAAAATGTACTACTTTTT